GCTAATAGATGCTCCTCGGTAGTAGGGTAAGTGACTAATTTTATTTGTTATGCTTTTCTCTATTTTCCAATTTCTCTTTAATGAACATAGAAAAATACTTGGAACAGATATTCAGTAAAATTGGTTGGCTTTTTACATACATGTTTAAATGATGACTTTTTTCTTTAGAATTTTGTAAGCATAAAAGTTAAGAGCTTTTGTAACCCCTTCTCATTAAAAAGAAAACTATGTTAGTGAAACGCATGATTTGACTTTTTTCCCTTAGTTCTTCAACTACTCCATAGTCTAGTAGGGTTTACCAGATAAACTAGGCAATATATGCAACACACACTGCCTCAAAACGAGTGACTACAATGTAAATGTCCAAAGCCACGGTACAGAGGGAGATGAACCAATCAATACTGTTTATCATTAGTAAGGAATGTTTGGCTTCTTAAAAAACTATAGTTCTATCACCTAAATCTTTACAAGCTCCTCTTTATTAACCTGGACTTTTTAGTTACACAAAACGCCAGTACCTTTGTTAATATTTTCTGATGCAGTCTTCAATAAGGTTAGAATGTCCAGATTGTCACCAATTCTTGCATAGTAAGAACTGTCGTGGCCAAGGGCATCCAGCAAGCTCACATCCGCACCATTTTTAATTAAGACTTCTACGGCATCTGTGCAACCATACTCGCAACCTAGCATGAGAGCAGTTCTAAAAAGGAAGACGGGAGAAGACCTTGAGAAAGATCTAAGAAAGTATTTCAGAAATCTTCTTGCAAAGGCCTCCTTCTTAAAATAAAAGAACACATATTACTTCAAAAAGTCATACTTGTAACAGATATAGATTTTCATATTTTATCCTATATTTTAACTTCATATCACATTTATAAAAACTTCTGCTTTGTGTCTTAGTTTGCAGAGCTAAAATCTTGTATCACCTACCGAACTAACCTCCTTTATTCCAGTCATTCTAAAATCCTACAATATACCACAAAAATCTTCTACAACTGATACTGTCACTGCTCAAAACCTACAATAACCCTAAACTATTAAGTCTCCTAATGAACTGAACCACATCATGCAAACCTCCCCAGTGACTCCCTCCTATTCTAAAATGATCGGATTCCTGTTTCTGATTTCTCTCCTTAGAAGAGGCTTCCCTCTGCCACCCGGAGGCTTTCACGTCTTCACTCTCGGTTTTAAAACCTGCCTCCTCAAATACATTTTCCTCGATTAACCCCATTAATCATGGACCACTGGTTTACTCTGCCATGATAAAATCATCAACCCTTAAACATTAACAGTATATAATAGTAAATAGTATTAATGCAACAAACAATTAGACCCTCATGAAAATTTAGAACAACCCTAGAATTAATTCTCTTCTCCAATTTTTTTTTACAGCTGGAGAAGCCAACACCTAATGAAATGAAATGACTTACCCTATATCTAACTCTTGTCTTCAATTGTGAATATTGGACTTGGTCAGGAAACTTTATTCTTGCCTTTACTCTGCTATGTATGTTCTATTTCTCTTTTATACCCCAATAGTTGTTGGAATACAATTTTTTATACAATGAGTATTAACAAAGGTTTTGTTATTAGTAGAAAATGCTATAGATAGGACAGGAAAAAGAGAAAGCTGATACAGGGTGTCAGAAACTAAGATTTTTATTTTTTTTTAAATCATCTGCTATCTAATCTATATAATTTACATTGCCCTACCTCATTGGTTTTTTGGTAAAGTTCCAATGAAAAAAACAGAGACACAAAGTGCTTGGAAAAACCTAAGATCTATAAAAAAATAATATTAATAAGGCATTATACATGGATCAACCAGATCATCCCTTTCTGATCCTAAAATTTATTTTTAAATCAATTTTTCTTAGTTATGCTTGGAACCAGATTATAGTATTGACAAAAACAAAGTAATACAAAAAAGCCACTTTCTTAATCATCACATTAATTACTTAAGAATTTCCTCCTCTAAGATGCTTGAACAATGAAAACAATTAGAGCTATAAACTCTGACATTTAAAGACTATTTTATTATATCGATTTCCAATGAAGTACAAGCAGTAGGACATATGTTTAGAAAAATAAAATTAAGTTAAAAGAAACCAACAATTTTACTAGTAATCACATATAAAATCCCAGAAATTTGTTATAAATTATTGTAATACTTCAACTAGTGGAGGGGGTGTATTCTAGACCTTTGTTGTCAGAAACTTTGTGATGATAGTAAACATCAGTCATAACACAGCAAGCACCATGATACACTAGACTTAAGAGAAGGGAAAAGGGATAATTACACGTAAAAATGATTAGTGCACACCAGCTAAACTTAACTAAAATACAGAAGCAAAAGTAAGCTAAGGAAATCTTAGGGTACAGCTTCAGAGAAGGAGGTGGCACTGTGCCAGGGCAGGGTAAGGAGAGAACACATCTTGAGAAAATTCATACTGAAACATGTCAAGCTCCAGGACACTCAAGGACCACTTACTCTCAAAAGATTCACTGACAAAAGAAGTAGACTGGAGATGTAATTTTTTATTCTTCTCTCTTACATCTTTTTTGAGTCCATTTTTCATTATTTTTTAAGCTTAAAACACTGAGGATATATTCCTCTTTCTTCATTTTTTTGACCGAGACATAGGCCCTGATCACGACTGTATTCTGCATTCACCCTGCCACCTTCTCCTATCCTCTTCTCCAGCAGACTGGGGGAGAACAAGGCGAGGGTGCTGACCCCACAGACAGGGAGAACCACAGCGGGCAGAGAGGCCAACTCACAGCAGTGGAGTTTCAGGGTCACCTGTGCATCAAGCTGTTTGTCTGGAAAGCCATGATAAAAGAATTACCGGTTTTGTTTGTCTCTGGAATTGATATCTGCTCCTCTATCCATCAGCAGTTGACATATTGTTGGCCTACACATCTGAGTAGCTAGAACAAGTGGTGTCCGCCCATCCTAAGTGACAAGAAAAATAAAATGGCATTAAGACAACAAACCTCCCAAAACATAAAAGTCGGAATATGTGAGTTGAAATGCAGATAAATGTGAACTGACTTACTACGTCTTTAGCATTCACTGAGGCCCCATGGTCACAAAGCAGCTGTATGCTAGAAGGGCAGTCTGCCATAGCTTTAAGGAACAAAGGGAAATGACAAATGATGAACATCTGCTGATAAGACATGTAGTGTTATGCTAGGTCCATATAAGGACAAGTTCTTCCATTACTAAACTACCAAGTTTCATACGTTTCACTCTCAGTTTATTATAAGCATCAATTTTCTATCCGAAGATGGATTAGACAAGATCATTTTATAAATGTTATGTGATTTATTAGGACCAAGGAATACTGTCATTCTTGTAAAAGACAAGAATATACTGCTATTCTAAGGGTAAAACACAGATAATAAAAATCAAACTTAAATTTTCAATTTTTAAACATGGCTATAACTGATTTGATCCTTGAAGTGTTACCCCAATTATTTCAAAGAATCATATTCATTTTCTTATAGAAGAGCCACAGTAAATAAAGTATGACTCATACAATTCATACTTCCTTTCAAAAGCAGAAATTGCAATGTCTGTCCTTAATGATTCAAAGCAGGGTCACTTTGCTAAAACTTATATAAATATTCATATATGTAAAATTACATGATCCTTCTTCTCTGACCAACACTAGAATTCATATTTGTATTAGGAAAAAAAATGTTAAATTCATAAAGTAGGATTGTGTTAATACTCCCCCTGAGTTTGTTTTTAAAGTCTTGTGAATTGGTAACAAGACTACTAGCACAAAAAGTATCAACAAAGTCAGCATTCTTTTTTATGTGTGAAATTCAATAAAACCAAATACACATAAGAAAATCAAGTAAATTTTCATTTCTGATGTCTTTAATCCAGTGACTCTTTTACATAAAATACATAACCAATCTTTTTTGATAAGCTGCAACTAAACACATTAGCTCAGGAATTATGAAATAAACTAGTCAGGCCCAATTAAAAATGACAAGTGTAACGCATAATAAATGCCAGGGTTACAATATATCGAACAAGTAAAATCTGTATTAAAGGTGCTATGATGAAGAATGCCAGCTCTTCACCAGCCTCTTCCACGGTAATAAAGCTGTGCTGGGCGCATGGTAACTCACCTAGCGACCAGCTCCCAGTCTCCTTTGCATCAGGCATGACCACATGAGTTAGATCATGCCGACAGGAAATCTGACAGGAGAGACGTGTGCTACTTCCCGAGTCTAGGGCTTTAAAGAGTAGTTACGCATTCCTGCATAAGTGTCCCCCTTCCTATTAGCAGGGAAAAAGAGGCACCTGCTATTAGCTACAGTCTTAAAGATGAGGACAACGCCCAAGGCAAAGGTAGACTACAAAACGGAAGAAATCTAGGCTCCTGAACGACTATATGGAACATCAGAACTATGAGATGAAAGGATTAAGTTCTGTGGTTGTTTTTTAAGCCAATATTGTCTTATAGTGTCTTTGTCATAGCAGCTTAGCCTTTTCCCTAAGACAAAAATTTCTATTAGGGGTAGAGTACTGCTAGAACAAATGCGTAATTATATGGCACTGGTTTAGTAGTTTGGGTATGAAATGGGGAGTAAACATATTTCAGGCTAGAAACCTACTGATTTTTCTCATGCTGTGGCAAAACATTTGAAAGAGCTGTCATCTGTGATCATCCAGAAGGTATACCATGTGACTACGGAGGCTTCCTAGGTGAAGCAATAGAAAACAGCCAAAATTTTATTGCATATTGGCAGTTGTTTACTGCTGTTATGAAGTATTATAAGAAATAGATGAGGACAAGCATGAATTAGCCAATTTATGGACACAGAGGAAGGGAACAGACAATATTCAGAATATTTGGTGTTAGAGAAACTAAATTGTTTTTCTAAATCAAACAGCAAGATATAAAACTACTGTTGGTAATGACTTTGCTCAAAGACCTCCCAATAGGACAAAACAGGAAAAAAAGACGCAGTCCTGGAATAAACATCAAATTACAGATAGTCTATTCCCACTCAAGACTATTATTTCAGATGGCTTTTAGGTAGCAGCCATTAAATGAGGTAGAGAATCATAAGCCTTCAAATAAAGACAAGAAATAAAGGAGGGTTAAGAACTTTATGTCCAGAAAATAACTTCAGAGGTGGTTCCTGACATGTGGAAGTGGCAGGCAACAGCAGCCTACCAGAGTTTTGAGGGAATGGTACCGCTCAGAACCCAGAAACCCAGCTGCTCAGGCCCACAACTGCTCTAGGCCTTAAGCTGTCTCTAGAGAGGGAATACTCCCCACCATCCAATTTATCTGTGACCATGGAGGATAATGGACAAGTTAGAACCCCCCAGAAGGCAGAGCTAGGACCTACAAAGGATACCGAATAAGGGATTTATCCCAGGAAACAGAACCAGAGGCTCTAACCAAGAAATTCACTGTTAAGACCTCAGTAGGAAGTCTTTGGAAGTTTTGCTTGGAAGCATTTGATGCCTACTGACTAGCGACTTCTGTATGGTTCCCCATCTACCTTGTTCCAAAAGGAACTCTTTATTTCATTTATCCCGCTCTTGCTCCATCACTATATAATCTGAGAAGCAGACCTCTTCTCTTTGAGTGTACAGATTGCTGGAACAATAAAGAGCTACATCAGAGCCAAAAAGAGAAAGCTGTTCATTGCCCAGAAATCCTAGATTTTGAGCCAGCTGCAATAACTGGATTAATTTATGTATCCTCTGCCTCGGGGTGGAGGTAAAGGACTCTATGCATAGGAAGCAGGAGCTTCAGGCATATCTGAGAAAGCAGGGGGTTAGACTAAGGCAGAAAATGTATTTTGTTAACAAAATCTGTTTTCCCCTTCTTCTACAGTGTAGCAACTTGGCCATGACTGGTCATCTAGAAACTAAATTTCTGAGCCTCCCTTACAGATAAATAAAGCCCATTAACTTTGCCCTTATTGATGGAATAGAAGTAGAGGGCTATGTGTTGCTTCCAAATGTGGGACTTACTCTTTGGGAAAGTGCTCCATGCCCTTTTCCCTCTTCTTGCTAGCTAGAACACAGATATAACTGCAGCCCTGCGTCAGCCACACAGGTGAAGAAGATACCCAGAGGCATGAGAAGCAACAAGATGGAGAGAACTGTGCTCATGCATGACCCTGACCCTGAGGCATTTGCTATCCTCCACCACACAATTTTTTATGAGCAGCTGAGCTGGAGTTACTTTATTACATCAACTTAGTCTTCATTCTAATCCATACACCCACTGAACAAATAGTAAGATTTCAATCAGTTACACTGTATTAGTTTTAAATACAGGGATAATAAAATCTATAGCATACCAAAAACTGCATATATTTAATTAATGCATACACCATGATACCATCACCACAATCAAGGTACTAAATATTTGCATCACCTTCAAAAATTTGTGTGTATGTGTGTGGGTGTGGGTGTGTTTTGTTTTTGGTTGTATCCTGTGTGTGTGGAGAACACTTAACATGAGATTTTATACTCTTAAAATATTTTAAAGTACACGATACCATCCATATTAATTATGTGTAATTTTTTGTAACCAACTACACCTCAATAAAGCATAAAAAAATAGGAACAACAGGGAGAAACTGAACATGAATAGACAAAATTGAAAATATTTTCAAATGCAGTTAAGTGTGATAATAATAATATACTTAGGTTATAAAACAAGCATCTTTTAGAGATACACATTGAATTGTTTATGGATAAAATGATTGTCTTGCACTTGATTTAAAATACGTCTATGGTATAGGAGAATGGGTGGTGGTATAGATGAATTTATGTATGTTTGAAACTTCCCACAATAAAAAATTAAAAATAATTTTAAAAGGTGATCATTAATAACATTGGATTAATAAAAAACAAGTAGGAAAAGGTAGCACAAAAATAGAAATATCACATGACACATTCATACTTCAGCAAGCAGTAAAATCATTTTTTAAATTTCATCAAGCACAGCAAATTAGCATTACAAAAATGAATTGTAGTTTTTTGTGATCTTAAATTTAATTTGTAAATTTGTCTTGATGATTCCATAACTGTACAAGCTTGACAAGAACATTACTTTAGTACTAAAACAAAATTATCATAAATAATAAAATCTACAGCGACTCACAGGGGTCACTGTGAGACTCAAGTAATAGTGTACATGAAATACTTTACAAATAATAACATTCTATACAAAAGTAAAAGGAAAAAATAGACTGTAAAAAATTAAACCATCATAAAAGCAAATAAAATGTAAAAAGAAAAAATCTGAGGTATAAAAGTTTGAAGCTTTGAATTATATTTTTAATGCAGACCACTCTCATCTTCCACAAGTATTAGTATTCTATATATATTTTAAAAAGGGAAGGTCGGTATTTTTTCTTTCTTTTGGCCTTCTAGGAAACTGTAGGAATGTCAGCCTTGGAAGAGTCAGACCAGAAGTCAGACTATTTTACATTCCCAATATATTTAATGTCTAACTTTTTAAAATGTATTTTCTCTAAGATATCTAAAGAATAATGCAGATAAATTTAGATAACACAAGTAGGATTAATAAAATCTGTGATATAACGAGTATAAATCTTTTTTAAAATATAGCATACTACAGTGACATGAAATTTATCAGTGACAGCTCTAAACCAAACAGCTACTACCACTATTAAGAAATTACTCTATGCCAGGAACTATTTATGATTTAACTATGACCACTTATTGCAGTGGTGTTAATTTCATTTTGCAGATGAGAAAAAATGAGTTTCAGGTTTGTTGATTTTTAAGAAGTCTTCCTCCTTTCCTTTTCTCCTATCGATTTCTAAACATAAACACACACAGAGTGCTTGGAGCTCCTTGGGAGCGGGATGATAGTTTATTCATCTGGACTTTTAGTATCTAGCAAACGGGACTGTAAATATTGGCTGAACAAATCTTTTTAAGCTGTACAACTAATAAATTTCACATTTAAATATACAAAAAATTTGTAATATTCCATTTCTCCTTGAATTACATAAATATATGCATGTTAAAACTTTATAATTAAAGTATGTATCCATTTAGCAAATATTTGTTTATGACCAAGTGAAATCTTTGCTTACCTGCATCATGAAGTGCGGTTCTTCCCTGCAGGTCTACAAGTTCAGTGGGACAATTGTACTGTTAAAACATGGAAACTTAGTAATCTAAGAGTTTTACTTTAAAATTAAGTATCCAGACTCAAGTGAACAGCTGTTATTTAATCTTAAAATATTCTATTTATTAAAAAAATTAAAAACCAATAGACAAGCCACTAAATATTTTGGCATAAAACAAATATAATAATGTACTATAAATTCAACAGTATTTCAACAAACAGGAAAACATTACAATAGCATGGGACACAGAAAGTATGTTATTGTTCTGTTTTGTTTTTTTTCACCAAGAGTTAAAACATTAACAACTGAATCCGGAAAACAAATGAGTTCTGTTGTGAAACTTAGTGGCAAAATGTTTATGGAAATGTATGACTGGACCACCTAACTGAAAATTTAGGTATTGATAAAAACATGTGGCTGCCTGATTACAAGTTTAATGGTGTTAATATTATATAGTCTAAGTTACTGATGTTTATATAGAAATACATAGACCCTATGCTGTATCATTTCTTATGTTGTGCATCAGGCAACAGAAAATTCCAAACTCAAGCTAATGTCAACAGGAAGGTCAAGTCTTTGTTACTTATTTTTAATTTACTGAGTTATGCGATTCACTTCCCTCAGAGTTTCTGCTCTTTATTGTTCACATTCTTTCACAAACGATGGAAAAAATATTATGTAAACTATTAGTCAAAGTTAGCCTAGTATTTTCTTTGATCTCAAATTCCAAAAGCACATTAAAAACACATTAACTCCTTGCAGTCAAAATAACAAAGCCGAAGTCTTCACCACTTTTACTACCTGTAGGAGTTTTTGTAGGCACAATGCATGTCCATACTTAGCAGCCAGGTGAAGAGCATTTCTTCCTACAAAAGATATAATTTAAGATGAATGTGAAGGGTTGTTTCTCAACATATGAATTCTTCATAGAAATATGACTCATTTTTTGAAAAGTAGTTGACAGGATACTTAATTTCTAAGGTTGATTTCAGTTTCTGAGATGTTTCACCCAGGTTGATTTTTTAATGAGATAATGAACACACCAAAACAATGACAGTGGGAAGAAAAATTAAACATACAGTTCCATAAAGAGTAAGAACTTTGTCTTACCACTGTCTCTCCAACACCTACAGCAGTGCCTGAAACACAGTAATTAAATACTAGCATAGGAAAGAAAGGAGGGAGGGAGAGAGAGAAAAAGAGAATGGGGAAGGAGGAAAGAAAGATACCTGGATTTCTCATAACATTTCCAAATAGACAGTGTGGGCACTAAAATGGAGGAAGTTAAGAGATGTGAGTCAAAGAAAATTATTCTCTAACTTTAATGATTCAACTAAAATTCAAAATTTGTTGAGACTGTGACTCTGAAATTAGACAACTTGTTTAAACATAATGTATCACAATGCACAATTTTTAAAGGAAAAGATGGGGTGAGGGGGACAGGAAAAAGGTTACCGTATAATCTGAAAGGTTAACTCTGAATACTGAAAAAGGTAAATTTGCAGAGAATATTTCTACCTCCAAACACTATTTCTCCTAATTACATTTCTTTACACAAACATCTCTCCTGGGTGGTGAAAGACACAAGTTTCACCAGGCTATCCCAGAGTCCAATCTTTAATGCTCTTAATTTCCCTCTAACTTCACAAACTTCCTAAAGATAATTTGACTTCATAAGCAGACTTAACTGCTAAAAAAGAAGTAATTTATGTTCTGTTCAACCTGGGTGAATGAATAAACTGACTTTCAACTCTCATTCAGTTTTATATGAGTTTAGATACATCAATAAGTTTTCCTGGGTCTGATCATTCTGTGTGACTGACCAACTAGGTTCTAGAACAAAAAGCTGTTGAGCCCTGTTCTCTAAACAAGTACAGATACAATACATTCATCCATACCTAAATATCCCTTAATCATAAATGAAGTCAGATGTGATGATTAAAAATTCAATTTGCTACTGTTCACGGATAAGTTTCCTAAAGACATTTTACATTGTGAAAAGGGATTAGAATAACTCATTTACATGGCAAGTAAGAGAGAACACGGAGTGGATGGTCGGGGTAGGCACAGTGGCGACAGTTCCTGGTATTCAACAAAATACCACAGAATCTTGGTCACATAACAGTATAAAGTTAGATCATTTCCTCGGCCAAATCTACATCCAGCCAGTTGAGACAGGGCAGCAAAAACATCAAGAACATTTGAGATATGAAGCCTACCACTATGAGTTCCTCCAAGAGTAATTCCTGGTAAGGCTTGGATCACAAATACCTTAAAACCACACTAACTTGAAATCTGTTTTTTTTTTTCCAATATATTTTCATATTGCTAGCAAATAAAGGAGTTAAGATAAAATACATAAAGTTTTTTTTAAATCAGAACATCTACATTTTAATTATAAGACATTGAAACAGCAAATGAGACAAGGTCTTTGTTGTCAAGAAAGTACAACTCTAAGGACAAACATAATAAAACAAAGCAAATAAAAATATGACTAAACAACAGTGAAAACCAAAAGCAAAGAGTTAAAGCAGGGTATGCCAGATGCAGCCTATGAAATAATGTCTGCTGAGCTTGGGAAACACTGAAGGACAGAGGGCAAAAGTTACTAGATTGGCCACTAGGCAAAAATATCAGAAGCAGAAAGAACTCAGTCAGAAATAAGGAATATGTACATTTAAATTAGAATCAGCACAATAAAGTCTTATGAATTCTAAGGATGTATGGTTAGTCTAAAATTACTGAAAATAAATATTCTTCTACCTCAATGGAATGCATATATAAGTAATAAACACATTCTTTTGTTTGTTCAAAGGTGGCAGATAAATAGAATTTGGTCTTCAATTTAGAATTTGTTATATCTTTAGGTTAAGATTTTCCTCACTAATTCAATTATGATCTCTCTCCCTCTATTCCCTTCCCTCCCCATTCCGTTTCTAAGCACAATGTTGGTTAACAGTAATACATTTACAATAATATATTTATCTGTCCATTCCTGAATTGGATAAAATACTAAAATTATGAAGGAAATTCTCTGTTCTAGGTCATCTCTTATGTTTAATAGAATAACGAAGTAGAACTGCAGAGAAGCGAGCTGTCAAGAGTCCCAAAGAACTGAGAATGGTTATCCTGATGAACAGAAAATTAGCACACTTAGTGAAGAAAAGCAATAGCCATATTCAAATACTTAAAGATCTATCTTGTGATGTGCAAACTTATGCTGTAAGATGTTAAAAGACAGACATAGGTATGACTACGTTTAAGCAGAAGACTCAGCAAGAGACAGACTTTGTCTACAAGAAATAATTTTCATAAATATAGCTAACCAAACACACAGTTTCCTTGTAAGGCATAATGGTGAAAAATACAGACTCTGACCACAGCTCATCTACTGCAGGACCCTGGGCAAGTTACTTACCAGCTCAGTGCCTCACAGCCTCACCGTGCTGAGTTAGTACACGTAAAGTGCTTATCAAAGTAGCTATACACATGTTACCTAAGTGTCAGCTATTCTTGTTATGATAATTATTGGTAATGTTGCCATTATTATGAGGCAGTTAATGCCCCTTCACAAGAAATGGCCAACCAAATGCCAAATGACCTCACAATACCAAGGATTCATATACTGAAAAGTATAAGAGTATAGGCTAAATGACCCCTAAAAGTTCTTCAAAATCTGAGATTTTAGATCCTGTAACACCATCAAGACCAGCACTCGACTTGAGGTCTCCAAATGCTTATCAGTTCGGCGATCCTTTCTCCTAAATTCCCTACATTTTACCTATCCCTGACAACAATACCTCAGAAGTAAACCTTCCCTCAACTATTTAAGAACAGAAAATTGAGGACTTCTCTTCTTAAATCACATTTAGGTCTGATTAAGAACGTCAGCAGTGGACACGGCTTGTCCCTTCTGTTTTGTAATTGACTGTGGAGGCCAACATACCTGCAGTGTCACTGGCTGTAATATCAACTCCATGTATAAGAATGGCATTCAAACACTCAAGACTCCCCTTTGAGGCCACAACATGGAAGCTAAACAAACAGAAAATATTTGTCATGCCATGGAAGGTCAACTTAAACGTTACAGTAATGTCACCTTTTACTCAACACACACACTCACACACACACATTTGAAAGGTTACATTACAACACCTATACATTTAATGCAAGCAAAAAAAACCTACCCTGTATTACAGAAAAACTCATTTTAACCCAAATTTACATAAGGGGCCAATACTCTCTAGAAACACCTCCTTAGAAATAACAGAATATTCCCATGTTCAATAGCCTTAATAATAAAATTTATACTACAGCATCATTACCTCTATTGTTTATTATTTCAGTAGGAAAGGAACTGGTCTTAGAGCTCACTCAATGCACTGAAAAATTTCTCAGATGATTTTGCTGACTTTTCAAATGTACTGAAACTGCTGAAACAATTGAAGTTATAGCAGACGGCCAAAGACAGATCAAAACACTTCCCTTCTCTTTAGAATTATCAAATTAAACCTGACACAGAAAAGCCTACAGAACAAGCTAAGCTTACTTGAAAGCCATAAAAGAACTGGCATCTAGTATTATAATGGATATAAATGCAAATTAGAGACCTAGTACTACTAAGTAAACTAAGGCAGGTTTGGTGTACAGTCTGAATTAGGAAGAGATGATTCTGATTAAAGGAATACAGTGTTCTGTATTTTTATTTTTTGTTTGCTTATTTTCATATTTTAGCGCCCAAAATCTGGACGACTTCTTTCTTCAAAATAAACAAACATACTGATTAAGTACTGAAGGGCAGAAATCACAACAAATCTACAAAGCATTATTAATGTCAACGTGCTATAAATAGTAGGTGTGCTTCAGAAAGAAGATATGTATCAGTCATTGAACTGTATGCAAAGAATTATAAAGGAAATTTGAAAAATTGCTTTGTAGAAACATTCTTTTGCAACTAAAAAAGTCAACTTAAAAGTTTTTTCTAAATAACACATGTACTTCTGCTTGCATAACAGGAAATCCAGGTAATTTGGTCAATTCCCATCTCTGAGCATGAGAAAAGCTGCATAAAATACAAGACAAATGCTTGAAGGCATCAGAGAGCTAACAAGGTAGGCCAAGATGTGGGGAAGGCCAGAGGTCCAAAGAGGTGAGTCTGGTATTTGAGGCTACTTTTTGCCTAAGAGCAGTTGCTGGTTCCAGAAAAAAGCAGGAGATTGAGCAATTCTTCTGACAGCCTGAGGGGATGAGGAGACAGGAATTGGAATCCAATCCGTGGCTCTCCAGGTGGCAGTAGGGTTTCTTGGTGAATCTGTACCATTTTGTGTTGGCAAAGGACTGCACTTTAGGAAAGGGGTGAACAGAAAGAAAACAGATCCTTGCAGTGACTACAGCTAGGCTTCAAACATTTCATTTTTGAAACTAGACTGAAGGCAAGAAGCACAGTTACTTTTATTCTAAATTTGAAAATTAAAAACAAAAAAAACATTCAAAATAAAATTTCTCATAATTACAGGTAATATGGAAAATATACTTGTAACATGTCCTATACTTCACTAAATAGAAAATGCTTTAAGGAAGAATAGAGTTTGTGTGAGCACAAAAGGAAAATATTTTTTCCTATGAATCCCAGACAGAATGCCACTTTATACAGTGAAAAGCATCAAAGACTACTACTACTCAAATATTTCACAGAGTTCATAGTTCAGCAAATTACACCAGATGTTTATAACTCTGACCATTAACACAAATAGTTTCACTCAAAATTGAACCTTAGGTTAAAAAAAAATCTGAATAAAACTCAAGCAACCATTTATTTACAACATCGAAAGTATGGACAAACAGAACTGAAGAAATAAGGTTTCACTGAGGATTTTCATCCCAAAGAAGATTGATTCCCTTCATCTTTTAATATCTTGGCATTTGGGGAAAAAACATGAAAAAGAAAGTCATTTTTTATCTTAAATTTTCACTGTTTTTACTGTAAGCCTTAAAAATAGCTTAAAATTTAGCAAAAATAGAAGGATTCAAAATAGCCATCAAATTCCTATTTGATAAACTTCAAATATAAAAAAATTTTAACTTTTCAGTTTACTGCTCTCAAAACTACTTAGTTTTTAAGTCATGTTTTATTATTTTGACTATCCTTAAGTACCTAAGCATTCTTAGGTAGTAACCCACGTCAAACATTAACTATTTGCTTCCTAATAGTCATTTCTATATTTGGTATCTGGTTTCTAGTTGTAATTTTCTAAATAAACTCATAAAAGTATAAGACGGAAAGGAATCTTAGGAAATGAGACCTTTCACTTCCAACTTTTTGGAAGGTTTCCCAGTAAGGCTTTAACTGCTGTAATCACAGAGGGTAGTGACAGAACCTAGATCTACTCCTTAACCTAACTGCTTCCCATCACCAACAGGAAGGAAAGTGGTGAGACTGGAGACGGGTGGGAGAAAAGATAAGCATATTACCAAGCCAGTAAGTAGTCCTCCTCAGTCAATACAAAACAAAAGGGGAGGATGACTACTTGAGCCTCCCTAAGTCACACCAGGTATTCTGCCTCCCTTTCTGCTCTAAACATTCTCATTTAAAGTAATTACCCAAATGTAAAAATGGATTAAGGGTGGAGAGGAAAATACAGTGTAGTTTACAGAACTCCTCCAAGACAGAAAAGTTGGGTTCACATCCCAGCTCTGTAACTTTTCATGAAATTAGACCAAGTAATTTAAACTCTGTAAACGTTTTCCTATTCTTTTAGAGGACCACTGCAAGAATTAAATATGATAAGAAATATGAAAAAGCTTATAAACAAAAATGCACCAAATAACCCTGGCTATGGTCGCCATAGAGCCTAAACAACTGGGCCACCGGGTGGTATTTCAGTATTCTCTCTCTAGCTTTGAAATCTTTCAAATCGTGAACAGTTATTAGTCTGTAATGTTTTAAGAGTGATGTTTGAAAGATTTCATAGTGTGGGTTTTGGTAAAGACTTCTTCAATTAAAAAGTTGATAGGCACAATTCACATATTTCACTGCAACCCAAGGATCTACCCAAAATTCCCCTTTAGGGAATCATCATCAGTAATACTTACACGGATCTGCCTTCCACATCTAGTTTGCCTGGATTGACCCCCTTTTTAGCAAGGATTGAGGACACTTTTTCTACATCTCCCCTTTCTGCTGCTTTCATCAATCGGTCATCATATTTGTTCCAATCTGATGCATGCTGCAAAAAAGGAAAAAAAAAGTAAATATGGCAAACTATAAATAATACATTAGTAAGACTTTCTAAAGAAAGAAGGAAAAGGGAAAGCAGTACTTTGAGTGATCATACATTATTCATTTTCCAACTGCACCCCAAGTTTCTTTCTCTGTGCTATCTTCTATGCTATCTTCATGAGAAGGACCTTTCCAAAACACAAGATATACAAAAAACACTTTAAATAATACTTCCGAGAAAAAGTATGTTTCTCATGTTCTCTGTTGTTTTCTTTGCCTTCAGAGCAAAGAAGGAAAACTAATCATTGCTGAACACCTACCCTGTGCCAGGCATGAATGATTCAAACAGCCCTAGTAAACTAAAATTATCAACCCCATTTAACAGATCACACAAGTCAAGTCCCCAGAGACATTAAATGACTTAAGTGGCCAAGCCCAACCAGGACTTCTCATGACCTCCAAAATCAATGTGCTTTCCCTATTCTCTAATTCATGCTTTCAGATTTGGCTCTGGTTACATATCTCCCAAGACTCTTAGATGTACATGTATACATTTTAAGAAGACACCCCTAATTTAAAAAGTACTGTTGGAAACATATTAAAGGAAGCAAATTACATACACACACACACACACACACACACACACACACACACACCCTCTCTCAATTAAAAAAAAAGCAATACATTATGGTATATATTAGAATAAAAAGAAACTTCTACACAGAAACAGACTAAAAAAAAACCTCTAAAGTAATTAACTACTTAAAGATCCTAAAATAACAGGATTATATGTGACTTTCATTTTCTTCCTTCTTTTTTTGCATTAAACACATACTGCTTTTGCTAAAAAAAGATTTTTAATTTTAACAAAAACTCAGGGTACTTGTATTTAAAAGGAAGATTAAAGGCAATTTTTTAAATAGGAGGATGTATCACATAATAAACATTTTAACTGTATCAAGGTTATCTTTAGCTTTAATTGGAGAAAATACATTCAAGATATTCTGAAGCCAATAATAATTTGGTGCTTTTCTTAGTAAGCAGAAATATAGAACCCAGATACATTATTTAAACAAGGTTTTAGCCTTTTAAATTATTATATAATGAACTTATTGCTAAACCCTGTGCTAAGTCCAGTATTATTTGTAGAACAAAAAAAGATGTACAGATTTTTCACTTATCTTACAAAGCAATTCCTATGTCCACAAATACCGTAACAAATCCCTAGGGGAAATAATGAGCCACTTCTATGGAAGTATATCCTCTAAATGTTTGATCAGTATGATTTTATCTACTACCCTTTCAAATCCCCCCCCCAAAAATCACTGATTTTGTGGCTAAATAAACAATACATTCATTAAATACTTCAATTGAAAATTATATGAAAATTGAATATGAAAAAAGATACTTATATTAAAATTTTAACCTACTTCTAAAAAGTATTATTTCAATGAAATGTGGTTTAAGTACCTACACAGACTTCAGAATTGTTGTCTGTAAATTGGTCAAATTTGAGGATGAACTCACTTCCTTCTAACCTCAAAAGTTCAAACTGCCAACTATGATTAGTGACTAAACCTTACTTAGTGGCTCAAAGTCTAAACTGTATTTTAAGCATCTTCTTTCTTTAGCTTTAAAACAGTTTACACACTCTAAATTGGGGAGCATTAGTAGATGTAGGCTTAACAAACTTTGTGTTTCCAAATGCCTAAGGGATTAAGCCATGTTTAGCACACAAACACTGGCCCTAAATTGTTTAGTTTATCCTTGCAGTTAAAACAATGTCAACTTTCATTTCCAAGTACACTTATTGGCAGAGAAAACAGCTGTTTGAAACACTAAAAAATTATAAAATTCAAAAGTAAGGCTTTTTAAAAGATATTAAACATGATTAAAGTTTCTTATTATCATGTGATTTCTACTTCACCAAGTACTGTTTTCCACTTCGGTCCACTGTCAGTTAACAAAAATACTACTCAATTGTTAAGATTCTATTATGTGTTTTTTAAACCAAGAAAAAGAATTTTTGTTTTCTATCACTAACCCCAATCTGCTAATCGAATAAATCAGAAAGAACATAATATGGCAAAGAACCAAAATTAATAAAACAGCAGTACATTTTAAAAGAATACAGTTTAGAAAGCCTAACCAAGAATCTTTCGTTGCACAGGACTAATTAAGGGATACCTACTCTGTTCTTAGGAGCACAAGAAAACCAACACTTCATCATAGACAGGATTTAGTTCCTTGGTGCTAAAATCAAACCACTTCGACTTAAGTCACAAATCTCCGTAGCTCACAAAGCAGGCCCTCAGACAAACCCCTAGCAAGTTGCGCCGCCCCTCTCTTTCACCACTCGTGCTGCTCTACAAACTTCATGCTGGGCTACACTTGGCTTCGATCTCTAACGATATTTTCTTCATCTTCAGGATCCTTCTCGACCTTCATTACGCTTGAAAATTATCTTCCTTGCTGTGCAGCATTTGGTTAAGAGCAGCCCCAAATCAGGTACTGTAACTCCTCCTATTTCTTATTCTTTATTAGCTGTCTTTCAAAGCGGTCCCTTTCAAGGACTCCACTGGAAAACCAGAACCACGCTCTGCATCCGGCTGCCTCAAGCACTGCAACACAGAGTTGTGATGCATGATAAAACCATACACATGCAAATCATCCAGTGAACAGTGTGTGGACTGTTCTCCGATTGGTCAGGGTCTATTTTAGATTCCATAGGACCTGACAGCTGAGTGACAGAAAGGAGCAGCTAAGAATATACTGTAAATGCATGCTTCTCCTCTGAGTAATAATTTCATGTCTGTGGGGACAAATGACTCAAACCTATTGTAAAACATACTTACTATATAAAAACAACTTGGTGACATTATGACAATATTGTTAAGAGACAGATTTGGTTATTCCACAAGACAGTATTAAAAACCAGTTTCAGTCCAGGATCACCTATTGTGAAGTTTTAAAAGCCTTGAAAACAAAATATAAAATTCTATTTTAAGCAAATGTGCCACAGTTTAAGTACACACACACACACACACACACACACACACACACACACACACACACAGTAACACTTTCCAATTTTCTTTATTTTTCCTCTATCCCTATCAGCCTCATTCTGCATACAACCAGGTTTCAGTTTACAACTGTTGCCAGTCTGTCTCCTAACATGTTAAATGAGAAGAGCTAGAGGCACTGCCAAGACATTAAATAGACTGCATTATGATGAATACTTTTCATCATAAATTTAACTCAGTACTCTTAAATTCCAAGTTTAGCACCCTGCCTGACATGAAAAGTAAATATTTTATCAGTGGAAAATCAAATTATCTGGATTCAGGGATTCAAAAAACAACTAAGCTGATTAAATACTAAAAGAGACAAATGCATAATAAACACTAAGCTAGAGTGCACACAAAACTCTACTTGGGGACAAGCAGACACCCTCTCCACATTCTCAGTGATGCTTCACATACATACGTGCACCAACATTCCTTACCTTATCAAGGACCGGAACAAACATCTGCAAGCTCCGGGGTGTTTTTTACCCTTTAGTTACCACAATAGCATGGATTTATACTTCCTCCAAAAAGATAGATTTAGGCAAACCATTTCATGGGAATGTAAAACATCCCACCACAAGTGTATATAGGAAGGAGGTAACTACTAGACAATATAGGTCATTCAGCCAGTTAAAAATTCTGTTATGAATTTCATCACGAAATCTGTTTCCTACTATTTAAATTTAAAATATTAGACACATATTCTAATTATAAAACATGTAAGATAATACACCACAATGTATTATTTTTGAAACAATTTTTTTTCCAAGTTACATTATAGATCACAATGGATTCTTGGCTGGATCAAGAGACTCCACCCACTCTAGTTCACCCTTCTTCAAAGGAAATCTGGGATAAGACTCAGGCCCTGTTCTTTGGTTAAACAAAGCAAGCTCATTCTTTCTAGAGATAGGACAGCAAAGGCAAAGAAAATTTTAAAAAAGGGGTAACCTGCAACAAGTAATAAAAGCCATATAAGGAGCTGCCCGTGCTAACTAAGGCTCTCAGACACTGCTCTACCCTGAGCCTCCCCAGCCTCTGTGACTTAATCTCCTGTTCCTACTCTTACAACCTATTCCCAGCTATTTCCCCAGAGCTCTAAATAAATTCTCACCTTTACTGTCCCACGTGCCCGGAAGGTTCTTCCCTCACCTTCATTTAGGTTCTTCCCAAATGTCACTTCCTCAGAGGGCTTCTCAAACCTCTACATCGAAACAGCCCCAGCCCCAATACCCCCACCACTCTTTATCTCCCTGCTCCACTTCACTTTTCTTCATAATACTTATATTATCTGCCATTTTATCAAATGCTGACCTGCTTATTAGCTTACTATGTCTGGTATTTGCTTCAAAAATAATGTGAATAATCAGGGGGCCAGACTGAATTCAACACATTAAAGGATTATATACCATGACCAAGTGGGACTTATTTCTGGAATGTGAGAATAGTTCAACATTTGAAAATTGATCAATGTAATACACCACATTATTAGAATTAAGGGTAAAAAAGCATATGATTATCTCAACTGATACAGAAAAAGCATTAGACAAAATTCAACATCTTTTATGATAAAACACTCAACAACCTGGAAACAGAAAACCACCTAAACATAATAAAGGCCATATATGAAACACACACAGATAACATCATACTCAATGGTGAAACACTGAAAACGTTTCCTCTAAGACCAAGAACAAGATAAGGGTGCCTGCTCTTGCACTTTTATTCAACATAGCATTAGAAATCCTACCCGGAGGAATTAGGCAACAAAAGGAAATAGAAGGTATCCAAATTAGAAAGGAATTAATAAATTATCTCTGCAGATGACATGATCTTATATGTAGAAAACCCTAAAAATTCCACAAGAAAAGAAAACTTGTTGGAACTAATAAGCAAATTCAACAAAGTTGCAGGATACAAAATCAACAAGCAAAAA